GCTTTTGTTGTGGTATCCTCACATACGTTTTAATTAGATCTTTTTCCTGCAGTGCTGTACTGTGATCTCAGCGGACGTATGCATTTCAAAGCCTTATCATTAACATGATAAATCTTAATATTCCCCATAGCTTCCTCTTGACTGGGCTAGGCACATTAATGTGGGACACAACTGGAGCTCCGCATTTCATCGGAATCATATGATTGATTTAGATGTTGTATTAAATGTTAATTAGTTTTTCCTTTTAGAGAAGTGAACAGTGTGCTTAATATCACATGGAAGTATTAAGTATCATCAAGTGTTCCAAAACAAAACACTCCCACGCAGGAAAAAGATGGAAAATTGCAGCTCAAATACAAAAGGTGGAACATAAGATTTTATGATAAACAGCTTAGGAGCCATGAATTAAAGCAAATAAAATTTAATTAAACCAAAAGTCGACTGAAAAAGAGTACAAAATAATACTATAAAAATATGCTTTTTCAGTTTCCTATTTTTCCTGTTAATTTACTGCATTTTCAAATAATCATGAATAAAGAATCAGAATCGGCAACATCAAAAAAAAAAAAAAAAGTATGATTTTAGGCAATTGACTTTTAATCATTCATTAGGTGTACAAAAACAATAGATTTTAAATACTGCAGAATTTTCGGATGTTTTGGATTATACATTATGCTATACATTTATTTCTGCATGGAGAAAATCATGTATTTTTACTGATAGTTACTGATACCCGAACTGATAGTTGTGCTCTGTTTTCAGGATAACAGAGAGATCTTGTGTAGTTCAGGAAAGGTTTTGATTGATGTAGGTTATGACAACTTAATTTTTTTCCCCCTGCTTTTATTTTTGAAAGTGTCCTCTACTCAGAAGAGCAGAGAACGAAGAAGTACAACCATCACAAACCTCAAAACTTGGTGGCTTGTAAATACCATAGACCGCTGCGCTCACACCTGGGGAACGCATATTTTCCGGCAGCTCTCTAAGGAAATAGGAAATCATGCCGAATCAGGCACCTTCCTCAACGATATCCCAATGAGCTGGAACACTGGAAATGGAGGGGAAAAGTTTCTGTTTCTCTTTTAGCGTTTGATGCCGGCCTCCCAAATGGCTACCACAGCGTGTGTGGACCGTGGCCGTGTGCCTGAGCCGTGTCTGAGGAAAAGCTGCTGTGAGATAATAAATGTGACGTTGAGAGAAATGTCTGCATTCTGCACGACCCTTTCATGAGCGCTGTAACACAGACCCCGCTGGCTGACGTACAGCGACCATATGGTCAGCTTGTCACGGCAAGTCCCCTGATAAGTTCAAATGAGATCCGTGCTCCTTTTTGTTGTTTAAAGCCCGCCATTGCATTGAAAACAAATGAGGGGCCGCCTTCCCCCCTGATGGCGCCTCGTCTGTGGCCTGGACTGTAATGTGGCCGGGCTTTGATGGTGGACATCACAGATTGAATTATGCCCTTGAGGAAAAGCTATTAACTCACGTCAAGAGTCCTCATATGTTAAATTAAAAGTGGAAATGACATGCAAGGAGTCTTTTCAGTGAATTAGTTAGAGAGAGAGAGGAAAAACACTCTAGAAGCATCAGGGGAAATGCCAATAGGGGGAAGACAAAATTGGCTTCTGTTTAGTAACGTCTGTCTTCCCTTCTCTTCCATCTCACTAAATATGTTTATGTTTCATAATTTATTGATTTTCGGATACATTTTTGTGTAAGCCGCTCCCCATGCCAGTATTTATTTAGAATAATCCGTTCGCTCAAAGGGCCCGCTGAATCACTGTAGCTTGAGTCATACTAGCCACTTTAAGTGAGATCCAGAGGAAAAGAGTGATTTCAAATACAGACAAACCAACTCCAGCGGTCGCTTCAAGGAAATTCAGATGCAATGCAAGTGTAAAGTGCACTCAAATAAGAACATGTTGACCAAATCATCTGCTGACCAAAGCCTCTTCAAAGAGCTTTTACCATAGTTGGCCAGCTTTAGTCTCACCGCTAGGAGAGGAGCGCTCAAAGTAATGCCCAGCTTTTAACTCAGACTGGCTCTTTGCAGTGTTTTTCGCCTCATCATCATTACTGGCATGACATTATATACCTTTTAAAGAATATTTCCAGATTTATTATGCAAAGCACTTTGAAACGGATACAATTTCCTCTCAGATTTGTGGCGGACAGTGTCAGCCTGTGATTTCAAAGGAATAAATGTTTAGTCACACTGAGTTAGGTTTGGTTTTGTTATTAAGAACATCTGTGTACCCATCCTTCACAGTTTTCCTTCAAGAAAGTGCATCAGCTCCTCCAAACCTGAAAAAGCCAGCTCCTCACCTGCATCCCAGACTGGAAAACTGCTATGCTCCTTCACTTTCCTCACTGCCTTGAACTCCATGGTGGAACAGGAAGGATTTAAATGCTTCTTTGAGCTACGCTCCGTGTTTTTCTCTACGCTCCGTGATGGTCAGGGCAAAGGAAGTGGCGTTTCTAAAGATCTGAGGTTATCAAAATGTCTGTTGTCTTCTCTCCTCGTTATCCCACTTGGGATTCCCGGTTTTATTAGAGGGAGAAAAAGAAAAACCGTGCACTTCACTGTGCTCTGCTCTTTAAATCCTGTGGCGGCTGAGTGTGTTTATTTAGTGGCGTGTCCTCTGTTCTACACTGACAGACAGCGAGACGTTCACGGCTGCTCCGGCCAAGGTGATATACTGACAAACCGCTCGTATCTCCCCATCAGCGGCTCACACCGCTCAGATATTTAGTTATTCGCTCCACCTCCGTCCAACACCAATAAATATGTGCCAATATCTCTCCCTGCTTTTCTTTACTTTGTATTTTTTGTCTTTAGCCTTTCCCGACCAGCAATCCTTGCCTGGTGTCGGCTAAACAAAGATGTCAACATCACTCCTCATCCTGAGAGTAATTTACGACTTGATGACAGTTTTAAGGGAAGTGACAGAGTGAGAGTGCAGCTCAGCAACAGGTCACTCAACACCTATTAGTGTAATGCAAGGCTTGAAGAGTCCCGGTTCAAACACTGGACAATTCATCCACATTAACTCTCAGTCCAGACTCCACGGTCTGCAACAATTTCATTACAATCGGCAGTTTTGTTTTGCAGTTATCTTCTCTTTTAATGCATAATGACTAGGGCTTTCAATCGATTGCATATTTGAATTGAATGAATTACATGCTGATGAATTAATAAAATTCATAGCAATTAATCACATATATCAGGGGTTGCAAACTAAAAGGCGGTGTCTGCGGTCCATGGACTTTTCTGGGATTAAATATTAACTTTAAATTGAATTAAATTACATGAAATTGGAGATGTTCATCAGGTTAATGCATGTACAGGTTATAACATTACCAATATTTTTTTCCAGATAATATATTAATCATTTGATTTAGCTTTAGAACAATAGAAATATTAGAAACTAAAGTATGGGGTTGATATGGTTTTTTTTTCTCTTATGGTTATCTAGGCTGCATTTATTTGATCAAAAATACAGTAAAAAAAATGTAATTAAAAAAAGTTTTCTATTTAATAAATTCTTAATACATTTTGAAAGAAGAAAATACTGAAAAGATGCAACATAGGATTGCTTCAGAAATCAGTACATTGTTTTTCTTGCTGTTTTTCATCATATTGCGCATTGAGTACTCCGTATTTAGGATGCCGTGTCAAGTATTTCATCCATTCTGTTTCTCTTGTTTTCTCTTTGTGTTTTTTGAATGCACAAATGTGTTCCGTGTGAATGGCCCATTTTGTGGAGTAAGTGTGGTTTGAGATGCAGCTGAGGTTTCACTCACTGCAGATGAGTAGCAAAAACCTTGTTGAATTGTTCTGATGTTAATTTTGTATATTGTAGAATTACATTTAGTTCAGTTTAGTAATTTAGTTGCATTAAATTGAAACTCGTAATAATTTGTTGCTCCCATTCACATCCATTTGTGTGTATTTGAGTGTGTATATCTGCATGGCTGATGGTATCTGTGTGAAACGGCTAATAGTCAGTGTTTTGGGAGTCTCTTGTATGTTTGAGATATAGAGGGCAGGTTTTTACAGTGCAGGTTTGTGCGGGAGTCGGACAATGACACCACATGGCTTCTGTTCTAGAATAAATTCCATATGTGAGTCCTTATCTCTCAGCTCATTTTTCTCCTTGGCTTTTTCAAAATCTTACTGACGTAAGGAATAATTCAATAGGTCCTTAATAATTTTTCTCAAATGCCAAGACTAAAATGATGCCTTCCAAAGCAGCTTAAAAGCTTCCATTTGAAGCAGCTATATAAACAAATGACAGCCATTATGTGGTATCTGTACAGACTCCTGGAGTGTATATGTATGTGTTAAGCTTTAACAACATCATTATATCCACTGGACAGAAATTTAAAACATCAGCTAGCGGTTTTCTGGTTTCGACAACTGTGGTGAAATTTTGCTTGGTAAATAAAACTTAATGTGGTTATTTTGGCCAATACAAAGTGAAATAAGAATCCTGTCGAAAGCAACATTTTTAATAATATGCATTTTACTGCAAATTTAAAAACATTTTCTCATTAACATGTGTACACGTAAACATATTGTAAACTGTGTCTTCCAGATTACACTTAAACATCTAAAAACAGTTGTAGTGAACTAATAAGCCAAATAACATGGTTTTTTTTGTTGTTTTTTTTCACTTGCATGAAGTATGAATGTGTATTATGTTTATTGTTTACAAGCCCAGTATTTTGTTTGTGGATGTGCATTTTTTGTTTGAAACTCTTGAGAGATTTCATTCATATGCAGGAAATTTTGTCTTGATTTTTTTACATCCCAACTGTGTCTCTTTTCTTGTCAGTAATGTGGCTTTAATTTTCCTGTTTTACTCTGGATGCCAGTCACCAAAAGCAGACTTACTTTCTTTCTTTCTTTCTCTCTCTCTTTCCTTCTTTCTTTTTTTGCTTTCTTTCTCACTCTCTATATACTCATTGTCATTCGTGACTTTTTTTTTTTAATGTAGCAAATCCAAGCCACCTCCCCAGATCTCTCCCAGTAAGTCCAGCGGTGGGGAGTTCTGCGTGGCTGCAGTCTTCGCCTCCTCCCGCTCTTGGTTCATCACCAACCCCAACATGAAGAGAGAGAAAGGTCTGACATTGCTTTATTTAGACATAATTTTTAAGCTTTAGCTTAATTAACTGGTTTGATTATTGGTGGGTAGAAAAAAAAAAAAAATTTATTGTATTTTATTATATTTTAGTTATTATATTATATTTTTATGTTCTATTAATTTATTATTTATTAGAAGCTCTGGTATCCTCTTTTTGTTTAATTCTTTTATCCTTTAAGTGGTACCAGATGGAACTGCAAAATCTATTCCACAGAATCCACAAAAAAATTGAGCTCATGTTAGAAACCAAAATCTTAATCTTGACTTTTCTTCCCTGTTAGATCAGTCTCGCCAGGCTGTTGTTGAATCGCTGTACATCCTGAGTTGCTATGGAAACCTGGTGGAGCACGTGCTGGAGCCTCGTCCAATCAGCACGGCGCAAAAGATAGGCGACGACACGCCTCTGGAGTTGAACACCTGTCCGAGAGCCTGTTGGAATCTAGCCAGGTCTTGCCCCGAGGCTCTCAGCACCACACCTATTTACGTGCTTTTACACTTCACCTTCAGTCCGACATAAGCTCCTGACACGACCCACTGCAGTCATATCATTTACATAAAACAGCTTATATAGCGCCTTAATGAGGGCAAGCAAATGATTAACGTCACGGCTTTTCACCGACCCAGACGCTGAGCTCAGTCATAATGCAATAAAGCTTGTGACCAAGCGAAGAAAATGGAAACAGGCAGGGGTTGCTCTCAGAATGGCTTTCTGATCTGATTGTACATGTTAAATGATTGTATGTACTGAGCTGTATAGCTCGTGTGGCCCACATGAGACAGGAGAAATGGAAGGTCCACCGGGCTGCTGAGAGTTTGAGTCCATTATAGCTCAGCTGGAGACTGTTATATACATCTGGCCTTTTGATATGCACTTCCTAAATTGATTTCTGTGTTTGTTTTGAGTAGGACACTGCAGTGGAATGAGCTACAACCACCTTTCAACAGCAGCCACCCCTTGGTGCTTGCCTCAGACTTTGTGCAGTACTATCAATACCTCCTGGCTGGATGTAAGTATGTGTGTGTGTGTCTCACTGGAGATGTTTGTTTTTAACACTTATTGGTGCACCACAACACTAGAAACATTAACAGTAAACTCCATCTCTGCTGTCTGCCTGTTCTTGAACGGTTGCAGAGATAAATCCTTTCCATTTGACGTAGCAGTGGATGAAGCGCTTTTTTTTTTTTTCTCCATTGGTGTTGTGAATCAGGCCTTTGTCACTCGCTAGTACATACATGCCCTGAAACTCATCATAGCACCAAATTAACCCAGCATTCAGATTAAACCAATTAGTGTGGCTTTAAACTTGTGTAATTTAATAACAATTGCATAGAGAGTGCAAGCACTTTGGGTTGACGTATGAAAGGCAAGAGAATGCAACTCGAGGGCAGAAGGCTCACGGATGACCACACATCTAATATATCTTGAATAAGTCAGCATTGTTGCGTTAGCTTGGATAATCATAAACATTAATGAGTAATTAGCTGTCTGGGTCCTTCAGGCCAGGCTTCACATTTCTTCTCTGCCACTAAAGCCCACGTGCTCAAGGCTAAACGGGTAGAATATTCTCTGGAAGTCGGTCTAATCACCATGCATGTGTCAGAGTGATGAAATAGCCATGCGTGAGCGGTCGTGGCAACGGCTCGTCGTGGATGCGGTCCACCAGGGGGCAAAGAAAGGCATAATGAGCTTCTTCAGTGCATTAACGCTAATGTTTAATTAAAATAAGCCAGAGATCTTTGCCCTGTGCACTTCTATTACAGCTGAACCTCACCAACCTGATACTCAGGAGAGTATGTGCATATGCATGTGGACGTGTTTGTCCTGCACCCCCGGCCCTCAGTGTGCCGGGCAGCCCACGACGTGCCACATTTGATTGCTTGCTGCATTGTGTCGCACCATGAGCAGCAACAACTGACGTATCCAGTGTGTGTTTTGTTTTGCAGTATTCTCCCCCCATTAGTATATATATATATATATATATATATATATATATGTGTGTGTGTGTGTGTCTATATGCATACATTTTTTGTCATAATTTTAGTTTCAGTCTGACTAAAATGGCATCTAATTTTAGTAAATGAAAATAGAATTTTAGTTCAAAAGTGCAAAATATTCATATATTTTATATATTAATTTAAATGTATTAACAGGACTATGACTATGATTGGGTTATTGACTATTATTGACCATGATTGGGTTATTTGAAACACTATTTTAAAACTCTTTTTAGATTTGTTTAATAACTTGCAATGTTATTTTTTTCTTGTCATGTTTTTGTTTTAATTTAAAGAATTATCATAGTGATGCACTTTCTTTTGTCTCTTTTCATTAACATTTACTCATCTGATTACAGCAACCACTGACGTATTCGAGACTATATTTTATGCGATGTTATTTTTTCTTGTCATCATTTTTGTATTGAAATCATTTTTTAATGATGTGCTTTTTTCTTCTTGTCTTCATTAATGTTGACAAAATCAAGAAACCTTTTATTACCAAATGTTTCAATTAATACATTTGCTAGATTGATCACTGAGGTCTTCTCAGCAATGTAGTTATCGGCAGGAAATGACGCAACTTCTTTATGGATCGAGCATAAAGAAGCCTTAGCTGGGCGTTAATGTTATCATCAGACTGTCGTTTTCTTTGTAATTACTTTGTTAAAGGCCACTCTGAAAGGGGAGAATACAAAGAAAGATGGCGGAAGAGAGCTGGAGATAGCAGAGGGGCATCAGTAGCAGACCGTTCCCAGGCTCAGCGGTCTCAGAAAGGGGCGGGGTGCGTGCCTTTACCCTCAAACTGTGAGGACTCGCAGCGAGCAGGGCTTTGTGATTGACAGCTCTGGTCTTGCTTCTAGATTGGATGACCTGGCTGATTAAAAATGCAGCATGTGGACGGTAGGGTCAGAGGAGCTGGAGCCTGCACGACTGGTGATAAAAGCAACCGTGGCGCCACTTCTTGGTCACTATCTCCACCTGTCCATCTGCCCAGCCTTTGGCAGCACTCTGGAAGGGGAGCATTACTGCATTACCCAGCCACTGCTGATGATACCCAGATGATGGGTAGATAACAAGGACACGCTGGCCCAGCGAAGCTCCTTTGGTCCAACTGACAGTGCTCAGGGAATCCTCAGCTTGCGACATTAGCTGTCGTTGAGCAGAGAGAGTTGGCGGCTGTGTGTCTGAGAGCTCTCTAATGAATGAGCCCAGATTTCACAAGGAAAGGTGTGAGGGTTTCATTCATAGCTGCAGGAAGGTGCAGCCTGTGACCTTTACAACTTACACACTGCATTTATTAGGCATCTTTCATTGTATTGTTGGAACAAGCGAGCAGAATATACCCAAATGCATCTGGGATTCTATAGCTATATTCGGAGTATACTAAATAAATAAGTTAATTAAATTAGTCTGTTTTCTTTTTTTTTAAAGTGACCGAGTAGAAAATATAACGATAGTAATATCAGAAACATCTGATGCAATGGTTTGTAAGTCCACAATTCTTTTTGCATTTTATTTAACTGAACATTTGAATGTATATAGAAAGTGGCCATATACAGTATTCATTTTTACCATGGACCAACCAATGAAAAAAATGCATAAAAATGAATGAAATAATTGAGTAGTATTTATGTAAATATTTATATTTTTACATATTTTTTATTAACATATTGGCTACTATATAAATATTACTATATGAATATGTATACATTACTATATAAATAAATATAATTTTAAATATACAGATTTGATTGTTTTTGGAATAAATAATACAATTAAAGATGAATTCATTCATTAATTGACTCTTTTAATTAATAAACAAATAAATTAATTAATTTATTTGTTTGTTTGTAATATGGGGAAAAATAACAGCAGTAGCACAATTCTTCACACCTCTCGTTGATCATTTTTATGTGCATAAAAAGTGGCCATACACATCATTCATTCAAATTAAAATAATTATGAATGAATTAATAAAAATGTATACATAACTAAATATCTAAATAATACATATTTACAAATTTACATATTTTTCACTTATTCACTTTTTATATAATTATAGAAATAAATACTTATAAATATTTGTTTAATATATTGTTATTAGCACAATTCATTAAGTTGTTTAAAATGGTGTGTTAATTTTTTCGAGGTAGAGTGGGGGACAATAACTACAGTAAAAGCAACAACATTAACAAAACCTAGTCTGGCTTCTTTTTCCAGGTGTCAATGCGTACACCGTTATGCACCTGAACAAACATTATTTAACTGAAAGCTCGTTTGTACATGTTTTGTGTGTTGGTGGCCAAAGCAAATTTGTAACCAGGCTGTGACTGTGATACTGCGGGTTTATGCGGTCATGGCCTGTTTCCTGTCCTTATTCTGTTGCTCACACTCTAACTCACAACAGATAAACTGCTCTTAACAGTCCAGGAGCCCTCGACCTCTTAAGCCCGGCCGTTATGAACCCACTGTAACCTGATCTACAGAGCCAGCTACTGTTCTTACGCTTCAATTATTTATTAGTCAACACTTATTGTCCCCCTGGGCTTTAGAAAGAGGGGAGGAGGAAGGCCAGAGCTTGATTGTGTTTAAGAGGTAACGTGCTCTGGCTCTGTTCTGACCCATCATAGGTTGGTAAGTCACTCTACGATTTATGTCCGCATAATGCAGCTTGCTGGGATAGCTCTGGCAACGGCTAGTGTTACTGTGATTGAGTAGGATGGATAGCGAGCAGATTTCCCCTTCAAGTGGAGGTGTCGGTGTATCTGTTACTCACACAGTAGTGACTGCGGCATGAAGCTGGCAGGAACACCTCATCCAGTGTGTCTGAACACCTGGTGTGTGAGCACTTATGTCTGCGAGACAGATAGAGTGAAGAAGAGGCAACAAGAGCGACGGGCTCCTTGTGTCCTCCAGATGAGGGCTTGACATCTTTATTATTCACTGCTGTATTATGTACATTGGTAACAAAGGCATGTGTTTGCCTGGAGGTGGGAAGGGAAACCACTGATTGTGCACATTAGTCTGAATACTTGGCGCCTGCTTAGCGAAGCCTCCAAGTGCTCCTTCTGTCACTGCCCGTGCTGTCTTTGCTGCTGAAAGCTCCGCACTCTTTTATATGTCCCGCTCTCGCTCACATACCAAAACATACTGTGAACATTTTTGTTGGCTTTCCACAGCCCAAAAATGTTAATTACTAAGTAGGTGTTTTATTGGTGCTTTTATGCAAAGTGATGTACCATGCACTTCTTACAGAGACTTCATGGAAAGAGCTGAAGATTTTATAATTTACTGTTTACTCTTTATTGTTAGCAAGGTGGCCCATTGTATTGTATTGTATTATATTATATTATATTATATTTATTATATTAGAGTCTTTAAAAAAAGTGCACTGCATTTTTTATTTTATTTTAATAAATAAGTACTCTGTATTTTTTTTATAATACATTTTTTGAATAAAACAAAAATATATTTTTCATACATAACTAATCTAAAATATATTTTCAGTACATAATTAATTATTATTTTCTCTCTCTGTGCAGTGGCTCCTCCTGGCAGCCCTGGCCCCATTACCCGGCATGAGTCTTATGACAGTTTGGCATCCGATCACAGTGGCCAGGAGGACGAAGAATGGCTCTCACAGGTGAGTCAGAACTCTCAGCCTCCTCCCATGGCCTTCATCTCTGCCTTGGTTTAATATTAACCCTAATAAACAACACTCAAGCTACACACATCGTACATTTCAGTGAAACACTTACACTTAATGCATCAGAGTTGTTGCTGTTATAAGTCATAAAAAATGTCTTGTTTCATTATCAGCTGTGCTCACCCAGCATGGATCTTATTGCATTATTTAATTTTTTCCAGTTTTTGTCATCCAAACTATTATGCATGATTGCCTGATTTATTAGAAAACACACTTTATTTATTTATTTATGAAAGTAATTAATGATATTTTGACTTATTAATTTATCATTCATCTTTTTTTTTGTAATTTTAGTCATTTTATTTTGGGATTTTGTCATTTTAATTAGATTTGTTTTTCATATTTCATATCAAATTTTTATATTTTATTTAAACTTTATTTCAATAAATGTAGTTTTAATAGTTTTAATTTATCAATAACGCCACTATTTATTTATTTAGACATGTACAGTGGGATCCAAAAGTTTATGAACATTAGTAAAAATTGTTCTTGTTATTTTAACTTACAAATGGTATTATTAGCATAATGAAAAGTTTTAATTGGAAAAAAAAAAATAATATACATTTCAGTATTTCCTATTTCCTAAATGATTCCGAATCTCAAAACTTTTATTTATTTCCCATTTTAAATTAGGTTCTTAATCCCAGATTTACAAAGTGGTCTCAGACCTTTGTACGTTTTATGATGTAATACTGTAGTTACGCAGACGCAACAGGTCCAGCATGTGTGTGGCAGTTTTTGTGCGGCCTGACTGGCCCCAGCCAAAGCTCTTAAATCTTAAGGTTGTTAATGCACCAGCATTAGCGACAGCATACTTCCCCATCACATCCCGGCTTCCTAATGACACCATTAACACTTGCAGCGACAGCTATTGGCTAAACACAGCCTAAACCCTGTTGATGGCTCTATTTATCTGCTTTATATGCGATTGCAATTAGTCTGCTTGTCTGTTGTGTGTTATGGCAACATAGCATAAAAAGCACAGTCCTCTGTGAGTGCTGTGGCAGCAGGCTGTGTGTAATAAGTGCTGTCAGTGAGAGGCGGCCGCAATATGGAGGGCTCAAGGCGAAGTGTGGAGAGAGTGCAGAGGGGGGCGACATCTGGCCGTGGCCCCCACGAAAGCAGAATAAAAGCCAGTGCCGCATCTGTTTCTCTCAGGCCTGTGCGACACCGTTGGTGTTAACTACAGAGAAAAAAAACACACACATACCGCTGGCCTCATTTACACAGATGTGACAGGAAGAGGACAGAAGAGTTGACCCCACACCATGCTCTTTCAGAAAAGATGGAGAAATGGAGAGGAGAGAGAGATGCTGGCTGGATGGACGGTCTTCTCCTCCACTCCTCCCTCTCTCTTGCTTCATGATGTTAGTGTCTTCTGTGCCATGTTAATGCGGTCCACTGGGGAGGAAGAGTGGCGTCTGTCTAACCTCGCTTCCCTTCCCCAGATTTGATACTGTTGGTCAAAAACAGACACTTGCCCACAGAAGTTTTTTTTATTTTTATTGAATGTTATTATAAATATTAAATACTTTGTTATTAATTAGGCGTTTCAGCTTTTATAAAGTGTTTTTCTGTTAAGTTTCATGTATGAGATTTCGAAGATGTGCTAAGTGATAAGACAACAAAGTGGAACATCAGAAATTAATTTTTTATCACATAATAATTTTAATAGTCATCAGAAATTTAGGAATGCAGATAATATTTTATATTTTAAGAAAAATTAATAATAATAATACATGGACCCATTTTTAATACATTTTTTTTAATCATTTATTATTATTATTATTTTATTTTAATCATATATATATATATATCTACCAGTTGAGAACATTTGTTCTAATAAGAAAAATGTATATTTATTATGTCTATATAAATACACACACACATACATGTATATATTTAAGAAAAATATGCCATGTTTATATATTAAATATATTTATCTGTAATATAAATAATATAAAATGCAAATATTTTAAAAATATATACTGTATGTGTGTGTATTCATATATACATAATAAATATACACAGTACACACAGATATATTAAGTAAACAAAAACTTTTATTTTGGATGCGATTAATCTTGATTAATCGTTTGACAGCACTAATAATAAATAATTACAAAAACCTGATGCACAGAATAAAGTCCTGTTTGTTTCACCTGAATATAGTGTACTCAAAAATATATTACTTTGCTGAAGTTAAAATTGTTGCAAAAGCTGTTTAAGTGCTCATCTCTATTGATGTTATACTTTACAGGTGGAAATTGTGACCCACACCGGCCCTCACAGGAGACTCTGGATGGGCCCTCAGTTTCAGTTCAAGACCATCCATCCGTCGGGTCAGACCACTGTTATCTCCTCCAGTTCCTCTGTACTACAGTCACAGGGGCCCAGCGACACCCAGCAGCCTCTTCTTGATTTCGACACAGATGACCTGGACTTGCACAGCCTCAGGTGCCGACACTAAACACACATTCACACACAATGCTGCTCACATTACCAGCTGCCATCATCAACACCCAATTCACAATGTGACAGCATAGACTCATGTTACTAACCACAGAAATTCACTAAATACACATACTGACCATCTCTAGCCAGCACTTGTACAGTACAAACACTGCTATCTCTCTGTCCATCTATCATTCATTTTATTGTTTTGTCTGTCTGTCTGTCTATTGTTCATTGTCTGTCTGTCTGTTGTTCTGTCTGTCATCTATCTATCTATCTGTCTGTCTGTCTGTCTGTCTGTCGTTCTGTCTGTCTGTCTGTCATTTATCTATCTATCTACCTGTCTGTCGTTCGGTCTGTCGTTTTGTCAGTCTATCTGTCATTTATCTATCTGTCTATCTTTCTGTCTGCTGTTCTATTATTTTATCTTTCTATAATTTCATAATTTGGTGGTGTTTTTACAGCAATTATTGAGATATGTTTAATATTTAAATGCTGAATTAATTAATCAGCATCCTATGTCATTAAATCGATTAAATTTGTTAGGTAATTAACTGAACCTCTTAATTCACACTTCACATTGCTAACTGTCGTCACTCACACTGTTGTGGGTGGCTATTGCTAGTGTAATGTGTAGGAGTCTAATTCACAATTTTTTAATATATCTTGTCCTTATGTTGCAGAATCCAGCCGGTGCGTTCAGAACCCGTTAGCATGCCTGGCTCGTCTCGCCTGGTGGCCGACCGTAGAGGCCAGTCTACAGTCATAGATACCGGCTCAGGTAAGACCACTGGCTGCTATTATGTTTTTTTCAACAGGATCTGAAGCATTTGGATTACAAAAAACAGTTACCAGTATGATGAATCTGCAAGAATCCTCTCTAGCTTGACTCAACTTTCTTTTCTGATCATTAGAACACTTTATGCATTTTAACCTCATGGTATGTTACATACCGATACCAGTATCGGTATCGGTGCATCCCTAACAGAAACATATACAACCTGGCTGAAAAACTATCAGCAGTCTACATTTGGTAAATAGGCTTATTGTGACCTTTGTGTTAGATTAGATGGATGTTGTTTGGAGGGATGTTGATTCCTTTTTTTTTTTTTTCATTCCTCCAATTGTCATGTTAAGATAATCCAATCAACAAAGATCTGGTCAGGCTTGTACTTTTAAAAGATTTCTCTCCATTTTGAACCTCCTTATGTGTAGACATATGCAGTCTAAACAAAACAAGAGAGAAAAGCAATTTCAGAGAATTAAAGTACACTGCACTGTTTGCTCTTTTTCAGTCACAAAGTGATATTTTGCTGTGTATGCTTACACATATATGTGTGCGGCACAGTCTTTCATGTTTCATTGAAATCAAAGCACCACATTTGCGAAGCTCCGAAATGTGGTTTGTCAGTAGAAGGTAGGCTGTGTTGACTGTTGTGATGTTTAGTGCTTGGTCTGTAGACACACATTAGCTGCATCGCACTGTCTGGAGTTTTCATCTTTGAGATTGCACTGACTCTCTGCGGTGTCTTCAAATGGACCTGATGTTCCTTTGCATCTAGTGACTTCCTGTCAAGAAAACAGTCTCGTCATCATCTCACGTCGCCCCTCCTTTAAACCCTCACCTCGAAAAGAAAGAAAGTAACCATCTTTATCACACAGCTCCCCTCCCTCTCTTTCTCTCTTCTCTGGCCCGTCTGGAGGAGAGCTGCCGGAGTCGTCTTTATGGGCCGATGCTTATCAGTCTGTGTGTGATTGCTCAGCTCTCAGGGCTTCAAGCAGTGTGGCGCCTCCTCTTATCAGTGCTCATCGCTTTGTCTTTGTGCCTTCAAAAGACTGCACAGCCCTGTTTATCCCGCAGAGCGCAGACACACCTCCTCTACCGCGATGTCTCTCTCTATTCCAGGCTGACCTGGAGGATCTGAGGCTGTCCTGTAGGACACTGTCTCTGTCTTGTTTTCGGTTTAGGCTTGGTTTAGGCTGTCTCACCCATTTGCCCAGTTTTATGTCTGCTTGCATTGTCGTGCGTTCTGTTCCAATACCCAGTGAGCCTATGTATACACTAAGTAGGCATTTTTTAAGGCAACTTTACTGCCTTAAGGCCAGCATTTATGTAAACGGTTATCTCAGATGCCCAAAAGATTTTTTTTCCCGAACTTAATGTGTTGACAAAAATGTTGAATAATTAATAATTATTTAATAAAGAATTAATAATTAAAATATTTACTTTTTTTTATTAGTTTTTATATTAATTTTATATTTTTATTTTGTATTTATAATCAAATAAAGTGTGTATTTTAATCATTTATTTTTATTTTTATTTATAACTAACTAAAGGGTGTTTGGTTTTTTTTCTCAAGAACTTCATTTATTGACAAATTATAAAATAAAATAAAATGCATTAATTAAAATATTCTTATTTCATTTTTATTATTAGAACTTTTAGTCTGGAATAAACAAAATTGTCAACATTTTTTTATTTTTTATTTTTACACCTTGCAACACAGCACATACAATGTGCATAAAATATATACTTTTTTCTATTTATAATAAAAGTGTATTTTTGACATTTTTATTTTATTACAAATAAAATAATTATATATAAAATAAAATATTTAAAAGGAAGGAAGGAAGGAAGAAAGAAAGGCGTTTTGGTGTTTTCTCCAGATCTTTGTCTTTTGACAAATTTGTAAAATAAAATAAAATAAAATAAATGCATTAATTAAAACTATTATAATATATGTCATATATTGTAAACTCTTTTTATAATAAAGTGTTTATACATTTTATTTAATTATAATTAAAATAAATAATAAGTCATTTTAAAAAAGTCAACTTAATTATACCTTGTTCTGGCCACATTCTAAGTCAGCATTACATGTACCCTTTGTGGAGAAGTCAATCCCAGAATGCATTGCGACAGTCCTGGCTGTGCGCAAGTGTTGATTTTCATAAAAAGTTTTAATTCATTAGATACTTGAAAGGTGTGATTAAATAATATTTTAAATATAATAATTAAATTAGTTGGAATATGCTGAATATGTGAATATACACAAATTCTTGAATATGCTGTGTGTATTTGTGTATGCTTAAAGCTTTATTTGACCATATGTAGACGGCAAGGCAGCCCACTAGGTTTTGCAACAGATCTGTGGTCTTTACATTGTAAAGTAAGTGCTTCAGAAAGATCACATGAAGATATCAGAGCCTCCTGGCTGTTATATATTAATGTTACTGTGCTGTGTGTGTTTATGTGGTGTCCTTTGTGTTAGATACCACCCCTAAGGGAGCTGGCTCCATGTGGCCATTTCTGCCGGATGTGTGTGCTGACACTAAACCCATCATAAGCAGCGCCCGTCTGCTTGACACAGCGTATCAGGAAAAAGAAAGAATCTCACAGCCACTGTCTCAGCTTCCCAAAATCAATTGGACATGCAGTCAGCATTATCGATACTCCTATCTGGTCCCCGGAGCGTCACCCTGGCCCTGCTAGACTACACAGCGCATTGTGCGAGAGAAGACAGGAGGCGCTTTATCTATTTGAACCATGAAGCGAGCAGGAATACAAGTCTCTTTTGATTGTATTTTGTTATGACTCAGTAGCAGAAACACCCCGTCATTTGTTCGGCGAGAGCACTTTTCCTTCCTGGCCGGGTTGTTATGTGTGTGGCGAGGCGGGGTGGCAGGGGCCTGTCGGAGATCGGGAGATGAGCGGGCGAGAGTGCACGAAAGATGCTGGCGTGTTGTGAGTTTGCGGTCACGTTCTGGAAGAAGCTTGACTGATAGCTGCAAGTGTGTCTTGTATTGTGTCAGGGGCGATGACGCGTGTTTTTGTTTGTGCTCATCTGTTTGAGTGTATATTGTTTTTATGGTGGGGTATGGATTTAAAGTTCCAAATATGAGTACAAATAACTGAAGTTACTGGTTGGTCAGTAACTTTATTAGGAATTGCAATGTAACTACATGATATATATATATATATATATCATTTAAAAAAAACATAGTAAAAGATTTTATCTCAGATGCCCAAAGAGTCTTTTTACATAGAACACAGAAGAAAATAGAATATAACATTTAAAATTAAAAGGTATATATATATATTTTTTTTTTCTCTCACATGCCCAAAGGTTCTTTCTTTTTTCACTCCATAACTCAACAAATATGTAAAATATTTCCCATATGTTGCCACCTAAACAAATATAGCAGTAACTAAATGCATTTGGACTTCATATTTCTGTGCTGGGTGTGATTGAAACAGTGGCCTGTGATTTTAGTCACAAAAATTGAAGGAAGGGGGAAACTTTTAATTATAAAAATGTTTTTTTTTTCTTCATTTATTATTTCATTGTATTTAGTTTGTTATTAGTACCAAATATTTACTTAAATCTACATTTGTTGCCTACATTAGTGCAGTCATGTCGGTGGTCAGTGCTGATTGCTGTTATCACATTGTGACTGTAAATCTCACCGATACTTATCACCAGCAGAGTGTGTGCCATGTGTTTTATCTACCGGCCTCACACAGCCCTCAACTCAGGTGCAGAGTGTATGTGTATGTGTGTGAATGGCAAGACAAAGCCATCTCTGTGTTTTACTGCTCCTCTGTGCTTGTTATGCCTTCAGGCCAGTGGGACAGGCCTGATCGCTCCCCAGGTTTCCTCTCCCAGCATGGCTGAGCGCTCAGAGACCGGGCACCTGGACTCTACCTGCGTCCAGCAGTAATGGATCCTCACCCGTGGTCTGTAATTACCTGGATGGGCATAAAGGTGGCTTGTTGTCGGAGATACTGCGCACATTCAAGCCAGAAGGATCCTGACGCGCTCGAGGAGGAGCCCGTGCCACATGATCTCCCCGAACAATGAGAGGTGTTTTTGAGACGCCTATAGATTGGGGAGCCGTTCCCGTGACCCAGCACTCTCCTTGCCGCCCTAGCCTGTCTCTTTCAATAGCGACTCGCCACCTGCCCCAGGCCCCCTCTCTGCCACACTCACTGACTCCATTCTTCTGCCCCTGACCTGGAAGTCCCCGCCACAATACAGAAGCTGCCATGGACGCCTGGCCAGATTGGCTGATCTGACTGTGAAAGATGCCATTCTTATCATCAACCTACTGTCTGAGGATCAGAGGCCCAACGGCCTTATCTCACTGGCATATCTTTCCCTCTTGTTTCTCTCCTTCTTTTTCTTTCTGTTTTTCCTGATTTCTTTGTAAATTTCCCTTTTTTTTCCAAGTACTTTGTTGACTTGACTGTATTATATATGATACTGCCACAGCATCAGTAAAAAAACAACAGCAAAACAAGTGACCAAAAACAAGGTGTCAGTATAATTTATTTTGTTTTATAAAGGGAAAAAAAAGTTTAATAATTTATTTTTATTATTGTTTATAAATATGCGTGTATTTAGTTGTATGTAAAGTAAGAGTTATTAATGAAATATAATTATGTAAGAAAATTATTATTGATTTTTTTTTGGGGGGGGGGGATATTAAAATAAAATCAAATATATAAAAAATGGCAAATATAAAAAAACAACAAATATTAATAATAAGATAAAATATCATGCTCTAGCCATAAAAAAGCAATTATTTGTACAATCGTACAAATAATAATGAACAAAACCGTAAAAATATTGTTTTATTGAGTTTATTATTTGGAATTTGTGCTGTTTACATTTGCATTGTTTATATTGAGCCAAGAAGGAAGGAGAAAGTCTCTATCTCTCTCTTTTTCCTTGAGATGAAGGTAAATCATTCAGCACTTTTTGGTGTCTGTGGAGCATT